AACCGATATTACCCTAAAAACTATCAGGTATCAGTGGAAAAAACGAAAATTGACTAATTGTTATGCAAATTAGGTAATTATTTAATATGCATAGATTTTTGTACCAAGTTTCATCAAAATCCAATGACTGGTTCTTTAGATATCAGTGGAACAGTCATGGAACAGCCAAAACTTAGCTTATTATCATGCAAATTAGGTAATTAATATGCATGGATTTTCACCAAAATCTAACAGTGGAACAGACGGACACACATACATACATACACACACACACACACACATACACACACACACACACACACACACAAACTAACTGCAAAGACTCCCATTGTGTGCTTCGCACATGGGAGTCAAAAATAAAATGACGTGCATCAGGAACCTGTAATGTCCAATGTACGTTATAAGTTTGAACAAAATCCATCCATAAATGCAAGAAATGCTTGCTATTTGAGGATTTTTTTAGCACAAAAGTAGCCACCATTTGGCCACTTTGAAAAGGATCGTCAAACCAATATACACTGTATCCGTATATCTATGACATGATGTATAAGGAATATTAAAAATTTGAACATAGTCAGTCAAAACAAGTCAGACATATGAGTCTGGAAACCCATTCATTAAAACAAAATGACCGCCAGACAGCCATTTTGAATCTGATCTGAAAAATATATGACGTTCATCAGGAACCCGTAATGTCTAATGTATGTATCAAGTTTGAACAAAATCCACCCATAAATACCAGAAATGCTAGATATTTGATGATTTTTTTAGCACAAAGATGACTAACATTCGGCCATTTTAAATAGGATCGTCAAACCAATATATCTGTCTATCTATGACATGATGTATAATGAATATTTAAAATTTTAACATACCGTAGATACCCTAATTTAGGCGTCCTTTTTGCAACATTTCAATTCTTCATGGCGCCAAAATTAGAATACATTTAGCACAATTTGTTGCAAGTGGCGCCTATTCAAGGTCATAGGGTCAAACAAGTATGATTTTTTTTATTTGCACCTT